ACAGAGACCCATAGAGACCCATAGAGACCCACAGGGACCCAGAGACTCGTATAGACCCACATAGACCCACATAGACCCACATACATCCACATAGACCCACAGAGACCCATAGAGACCCACAGAGACCCACAGGGACCCATAGAGACCCACATAGACCCACAGAGACCCATAGAGACCCATAGAGACCCACAGGGATCCAGAGACTCGTATAGACCCACATAGACCCACAGAGACCCATAGAGACCCATAGAGACCCACAGGGATCCAGAGACTCGTATAGACCAACATAGACCCACATACACCCACATAGACCCACAGAGACCCATAGAGACCCACAGAGAACCACAGGGACCCATAGAGACCCACATAGACCCACAGAGACCCATAGAGACCCACAGAGACCCACAGGGACCCATAGAGACCCACATAGACCCACAGAGACCCATAGAGACCCACAGAGACCCATAGAGACCCACAGGGATCCAGAGACTCGTATAGACCCACATAGACCCACATAGACCCAGATAGACACACATAGACCCACATAGACCCATAGAGACCCACATAGACCCATAGAGACCCACAGAGACCCACAGAGACCCACAGGGTACCAGAGACTCGTATAGACCCACATAGACCCACATAGACTCACAGAGACCCATAGAGACCCACATAGACCCACAGAGACCCACAGAGACCCATAGAGACCCACAGGGACGCAGAGACTCGTATAGACCCACATAGACGCACAGAGACCCATAGAGACCCATAGAGACCCACAGGGATCCAGAGACCCACATAGACCCACATAGACCCAAAGAGACCCATAGAGACCCATACTCGTATGTATGTATATTGAACTTCTTTTTCACCGTAGGTAGCCACAGACTCCATCCTCACCACTAAGCCACAGACTCCATCCTCACCACTAAGCCACAGACTCCATCCTCACCACTAAGCCACAGACTCCATCCTCACCACTAAGCCACAGACTCCATCCTCACCACTTAAACCACAGACTCCATCCTCACCACTAAGCCACAAGCCCCATCCTCACCACTAAGCCACAGACTCCATCCTCACCACTAAGTCACAGACTCCATCCTCACCACTAAGCCACAGACTCCATCCTCACCACTTAAACCACAGACTCCATCCTCACCACTAAGTCACAGACTCCATCCTCAACACTAAACCACAAGCCCCATCCTCACCACTAAGTCACAATCCCCATCCTCACCACTCAGCCACAGGCTCCATCCTCACCACTCAGCCACAGACTCCATCCTCACCACTAAGCCACAGTACCCATCCTCACCACTAAGCCACAGTTCCCATCCTCACCACTAAGCCACAGACTCCATCCTCACCACTAAGTCACAGACTCCATCCTCACCACTAAGCCACAGTTCCCATCCTCACCACTAAGTCACAGACTCCATCCTCACCACTAAGTCACAGACTCCATCCTCACCACTAAACCACAGGCTCCATCCTCACCACTAAGTCACAGGCTCCATCCTCACCACTAAACCACAGGCTCCATCCTCACCACTCAGCCACAAGCTCCATCCTCACCACTCAGCCAAGGCTCCATCCTCACCACTAAACCACAGGCTCCATCCTCACCACTCAGCCACAAGCTCCATCCTCACCACTCAGCCACAGACTCCATCCTCACCACTAAGCCACAAGCTCCATCCTCACCACTAAGTCACAAGCTCCATCTTCACCACTAAGCCACAGGCTCCATCCTCACCACTCAGCCACAGACTCCATCCTCCCCACTCAGCCAAGGCTCCATCCTCACCACTAAGCCACAGACTCCATCCTCACCACTAAGCTACAGGCTCCATCCTCACCACTAAGTCACAGGCTCCATCCTCACCACTAAGTCACAGACTCCATCCTCACCACTCAGCCAAGACTCCATCCTCACCACTCAGCCACAGGCTCCATCCTCACCACTAAGTCACAAACTCCATCCTCACCACTAAACCACAGTTCCCATCCTCACCACTAAGCCACAGACTCCATCCTCACCACTAAGTCACAAGCTCCATCCTCACCACTAAGTCACAGACTCCATCCTCACCACTCAGCCACAGACTCCATCCTCACCACTAAGCCACAAGCTCCATCCTCACCACTAAGTCACAAACTCCATCCTCACCACTAAACCACAGTTCCCATCCTCACCACTAAGCCACAGACTCCATCCTCACCACTAAGTCACAAGCTCCATCCTCACCACTAAGCCACAGGCTCCATCCTCACCACTAAACCACAGACTCCATCCTCACCACTAAGTCACAAGCTCCATCCTCACCACTAAGTCACAGACTCCATCCTCACCACTAAACCACAGACTCCATCCTCACCACTAAGTCACAGGCTCCATCCTCATCACTAAGTCACAGGTCCCATCCTCACCACTAAACTACAAGCCCCATCCTCACCACTAAGCCACAGTTCCCATCCTCACCAAAGCTCTCTCCTCTAAACCCTGACAGCCTGTGTGCCGATCTCTAACCCAGTGTCCATAGACCCTGAACACCTCTGACCTGTACTGCCCCTCGTCCTGTTATACATCATCCTATTGTACCCCATCCCTTAGCCGCTGACCATCTCTCCTCTCTCGCCTCTCCCCTCCTCCTCGTCTGCCACCTCCTCCACCTCCCGTCTCTGTTATCTCTCACCTCCTCCTCCACCACCTCCCTCTATCTCTCTCTTCTTTCTCTCTCTTACTCCTCAACCTCCTCCACTTCCTCTTCTCCCTCTCTCCTCCACCTACTCTTTCTTATCTCTTTCCTCTTCCACCTCCTCTCACTTCCTTCTCTCCTCCTCCTCCTCTGACACCTCCTCCTCCTCCCCTCTCCTTTCTCTTTCCTCTCTCACCTCCTCTAGAATGGAAACATTCATATGTCCGTCCACTTCACAAAGATGATCCAGGTAACTACCGACCTATCTCAATTTTGTCCCGCGTTGATGAAAATTTTTGAAAAATTATTGACCTACCAAATTAGCAGTTTCCTGTCCACCAACAGTCTACTACATCTAAAACAATCTGGGTTCCGAAAAAAATACAGCACCACATCTGCTGCATTAGACTCTCTGAATCACATTTACAGTAGCCTTGATAATAAGCAGTACTGTACCTGTCTTTTTCTAGACCTGTCCAAAGCTTTTGATACAGTAGACCACAACACCCTGCTTAGTAAACTAAGTTGCCTCGGTTTTTCCGAAAACGCAGTAAAATGCTTACAAAATTACCTCTTTTCTCGCACCCAAACTGCATTCACAGATGGTTGGAAGTGAAACAGTGTTGAGATCACAAAAGGGGTTCCACAGGGTTCCATCCTCGGCCCCCTCTTGTTCTCTCTTCATGTCAATGACTTGGGCACTGACCTGGATCATTCCAGGGTAAATCTTTTTGCAGATGACACGATACTGATTACTGCTGTCTGCTCTCCGGATGACGTGATTGCTAAGCTCCAGGGTGATTTCAACAAACTACAACATCAGCTAGTTGCTTTTAAACTAGTCCTGAATACCTCCAAAACCAAGGTGCTATGCTTCTCACCAGGACTAAAGCAATACGTTATTTTTCCCCAATTACATTCCTTAAATAATTATCAAATAGAGCAAGTCAAGATCTATAAGTATCTTAGGGTCATCCTGGATTCAAAACTGAATTTTGAAGATCACATTGATTATATTGGTAAAAAGACAAAAATAAAAATTGGTTTTCTGTATCGACACAAGCACTGCTTCCCCCCAATGTTCCGTTTGGAATTGATAAAAGCTACCATACTGCCTCTACTTGACTACTGTGACATCGTGTATAAATCAGCCCCAAATACTGTACTGAAGAAGCTTGATTCCATCTATCACTCAGCCTTAAGATTTACATTGAACTGCCCATATAGGACTCACCACTGTGATCTCTACATTGGCTCAAACTTAACATCTCTTAATATTCGACGGCTTGTGCACCAGATCTTATTTATTCACGATGTACTTACAAAAAAAATCCGCAGACTACCTACTGGATCTCCTCTCTGTTTCAAAGAACAAATTTGACCTCAGGTCTTCGCTCATTTACCAGCTTCACATTCCCTATTGCCGTACAAAAACTGGAGGAAGGGCCTTTGCTATTGATGCCCCCAGGGTCTGGAATGCTATTGCCAATAAACTGCAACTTGAATCACTACCTATGAGATCTTCTCTCAAAACTGCTCTAGAGGAGTTGTACACCCCTAGCTGCCACTGCTATTCATTGGCGTAAAATAAAATAAAATGTTTCGCTCCGGATGACGCTGCAAAGTATTATCTGTATTTTGATTTAGCGTGCTAATGTTAAAGGTGCATTGAAAAATTTGATACTCCGACTGATGCTTCTGTTGTTGTGGAGTAACTCATGCAGCCAGCTATGGCTCTAGGATTTGGTGTTACATGTTATTTATGTAGTTTATTGTAAAAATTCGGTCACAGTCCCTGTGATCACTGTTACGTTGCAATTATGGCTTTATTTTTCGGTGATTTCGAAAACGTTTTTTTGGTTTGGACATGTTTGTTTTGTTGTAGTACGGAGTTAGACTGATGGCCTTAATCTAAGTTTTCTTGTTGTTGTTGTTTGACTTGCATCCCACTGGGATGTTTTGCACACAGCGTTGGTGTACAGTGCTATTCAGGTATATTTTGCCGGTTTTTTTTCATGGATTTTCTGTTTGCACAGTCACACAAAGTCACTTTAAGATGTTTTTCTTGTTCTTGTTTTTTTGTTTGTCGCGGTTGCACCCGATTCAAGAGCCGAATGGCTCACACAGGGCTATACCAAAATAATAAAACTGAAAACTCTTCCACCTCCTCTCTCTGTCTCTCTCTCTTCTTTTTCTCCTCCTCCTATCTCTCTCCTCCGCCACCTCCTCTCTTTCTCTCTCCTCTCTCACCTCCTCCTCCACCTCCTCCTCCACCTCCTCCTCCCTCCCCGCGCTCACCATGACGAGGGCTTCGGTGCTCTTGCCGGTGGGGTCGGTGGCCGCGGCTGCGGTGACCCCCGCGGCGGCGGTGACCCCCGCGGCGGCGGTGACCCCCGCGGCGGCGGTGACCCCCGCGGCGGCGGTGACCCCCGCGGCGGCGGTGACCCCCGCGGCGGAGGCTGAGCGCCGCTCCTCGCGCCGCCAGCTCCGGCCCAGCTGGCCGATGACGCGGCTCGCCTCGTCCTCCGAGTCCAGCTCGGACAGGTCGTTCATCTCCAGCGGGCGCCGGTAGCCCCGGTAGACCATCCTGGACGCACGCACGCACGCACACGCACACAGACACACGCACGCACACAGACACACGCACACACACGCACACACACGTGCACGCACACGCACGCACACAGACACACACGCGCACACACGTGCACGCACACACGCACACAGACACACGCACGCACACGTACACAGACACACACGCACACACACGTGCACGCACACACACGCACACAGACACACACGCACGCACGCACACAGACACACACGCGCACACACGTGCACGCACACACACGCACACAGATACACACGCACGCACGCGCACGCACGCACGCGCACGTGCACGCACAAGCACACAGACACACACGCACACAGACACACACGCACATACACGTGGACGCACACACACGTGCACGCACACACACGTGCACGCACACACACGTGCACGCACGCACACACACAGACACACACGCACGCACACGTGCAAACACGCATGCACGCGGAAGAACGTACGCACACGCACGCACAAAACACAAAGATTCCCCGTATAGGCTCAACAAACTGTTGGGGGCAAGTGCTGTTATCAAGCTCCTATGAAGGTGAAGGCCGGAACGGCACACGTGGGGGTGGGTGGCCAGCACCGCGCCCGGCCGCCTTTGTCTCCCCAGTGGCGATGTTCACTACACCGCAATTGCTACCTAGGGGAGGCCCAGGACCGGTTCAGAGAAAACGTCACGGGTGTCGGTGGCCATGAGCTGGAATCGAACTTGGGTCGACGGGTTCGCTACACTACCGCTGCCCACTCACACAAAGATCCCCCATATAGCCTGTAACAGACTGTAGGAGCAAGTGCTGTTAGCGAGCACCTAGGAAGGCCGGAACGGTACACGAGGGGGTGGGTGGCCAGCACCACGCCCGACCGCCTTTGTCTCCCTAGTCGCGATGTTTACACACCGCACCAGGTACTCATTTTGAGGCTGAGTCGACCTAGGGGAGGCCCGGGACCGGTTCAGATAATCGTCACTGGTGTTGGCCGTGAGCGGGAATCGAACCTGGGTCGCCAGGTTTATAGCGCAGCGCGCTATCCGCTACACTATCGCTCCCCACTAGCTCACACACACACGCACGCACGCGCGCACATTTTCAGAATCGATAGCTCAACGAAGTGGGCTCAGCATCGTAATCATCGCGTGGACATTCATATGAGTAGCCCAAATTGTCTAAATGCCGGAGGACCACGGGAAGAGAGAGAGAGAGAGAGACAGGCATCGTCAGAGTCGGAATCCAACCCACGACTTCCTGTATACCTGGCGAGGCAGTTAACATCTCTCGGCGGTGGCGAGGTGTTAACTACCTCGCCTGGTATGCACGAGGTTAAGTGCCGGATGATCTTCGTAGCAACAGGAGCTACAAATTCCACAGGACCTCCGCACTTTGAAGGGCCCCGCGCTAAATACTTTCAAGCTATCAATTCATTTTCAGCGATTGTGCACTTGCGCTATTACTACAGCACTATACCGCCTTCAACTTTCACGGGTGTTCAAGGTTAGCGATTTGTCGTATTGTCTGGCGTGTGTAGCAAAATGGAAAAACAAAATACAATAACTTTACTGTGCAAGTAAAAAAATGTGTGTTTTAATATTTACGTTTTTTTTGTATTTATTTAGGACCCCTTCATCACATCATGCTCAAGGCCCCGCGCTAGCTTCATCCGGTACTGACGGGGTTGTGGGTTCGATCCCGACCCCGACGATGCCTGTAGTATTATACATTTCCACACGACGACGATGATGATGATGATGATAAGCCACTTTGTTTGGCTACCCTTCGCGCTAGCCGGCTCCGTTCTGATAAACAGCCGCAGACCTCAGTGGGTCTCACCTGGCAAAGTGAGTGGCAGTGTCATTGGTGGTGCAAGTCATGGTGGTGGTGGTGGTAGTAGTATTGGTGGTGGTCCTATTGGTGGTGGTGGTGGTGGTATTGGTGGTGGTGGTGGTGGTGTTATTGGTGGTAGTGGTGGTGGTAGTAGAATTGGTGGTGGTCCTATTGGTGGTGGTGGTGGTGTTATTGGTGGTGGTGTTGGTGGTAGGGTTATTAGTGGTGGTGTTGGTGGTAGGGTTATTGGTGGTGGTGTTTTTAGTGGGGGTGGTGTTATTGGTGGTCGTGGTGTTATTGGTCGTGGTGTTGGTGGTAAGGTTATTAATGGTGGTGGTATTATTAGTGGTGGTGGTGGTGTTATTGGTGGTGGTGTTGGTGGTGGCGTTATTGCTGGTGGTGGTGTTGGTGGTGGTGTTATTGGTGGTAGTGGTGTTATTGGTGGTGGTGTTGGTTGTAGGGTTATTGGTGGTGGTGGTGGTGGTGGTGTTGGTGGTGGTGTTATTGGTGGTAGTGTTATTAGTGGTAGTGGTGTTATTGGTGGTGGTGTTGGTGGTAAGGTTATTAGTGGTGGTGGTGTTGGTGGTAATATTATTGGTGGTGTTATTGGTGGTAGTGGTGTTATTGGTGGTGGTGGTGGTTGTAGGGTTATTGGTGGTGGTGTTATTGGTGGTAGTGGTGTTGGTGGTAGTGTTATTGGTGGTGTTATTGGTGGTGGTGGTGGTGGTGCTGGTGGTTGGAGGGTTATTGGTGGTGGTGTTATTGGTGGTAGTGGTGTTATTGGTGGTGGTGTTGGTGGTAGTATTATTGGTGGTGTTATTGGTGGTGGTGGTGGTTGTAGGGTTATTGGTGGTGGTGGTGGTGGTGGTGGTGGTAGGGTTATTGGTGGTGGTGGTGGTGTTGATTGTAGGGTTATTGGTGGTGTTGAGGTTGTTGGTGTCAGTGGTCGCAGGGCGTGACTATAGCATGAGGCGCACTGACTTGTCAAACCAGGTGAAGGTGATGAGGTTCAGGAAGGACGCTCGCTCCGTGGGGTTCGGTTTCTGCAAAAGAGAAGCGGCATAGACTTTGGGCCCTTCCGTAGGAAGCATTTAACTTTTACCGCCACCACCACCAACAACGCCACCACCACCAACAACGTCACCACCACCAACAACGCCACCACCACCAACAACAACGCCACCACCACCAACGCCGGCACAGCCACCACCACCACCACCGCCACCATCACTGCAACCACCACCACTGTCACTACCACCGCTACCACCACTGCCACCACCACAATCAATACCACCACCACCGCACACCATCAACAACAACAACCGCCATTCGCCACTAAGTGGCGGTGACGTCACCACGACGCTTGTGCCAGGCCATGTGCACCTTGAGGCCACGTGAAGTGTCGAACGCCCGCTGGCAGGAGGTCACGGGGCAGACCCAGCAGGTGCCACGGGTCGACTGACTGAGGATGAGTGGTTGATGCACCACCTGTGCCCCCTACTGTGTCAACCTGCTGTGCTTTAGCCACCCGGCGCTCCGCTCGTTGTTGTGAGCGTCGCTCCTCCGCCCTCCGTTGTTGTTGGAGGACGACTACCTCCAACTGCCCAGTAGCGTCCTTCACGAGCCTCCTCTACAGAGGCCAATCTTGACACCGCTGGTACCAGTCATCGGCAAGTCCACTCAGCTCCACGCCCTCCTGTACCACATCACTCATCTCTTCTCTAGCCCGTGCCGCGCCCGTTTGGCCCCCTCTTTCCATTAGAACAAAAGCTGTTTATGCATGTGGTGACTGGGCATGCAGACGACATGGTCCAGCCAACGTACACAATCCAGCCTGGTTAAACCCAGGATAGATCGTAGGCAGGTCAGCCGTGGACCCCCCTAATGTTCCATTATGGGGGTCCACGTTTTGCAAGCGTAGAGAAGGGAGGGAATGACCGTGACCGAGAAGACCTGAAGCTTAGTGCGACAGACCAGGTAGCTTCCACACAGCGTTACGCAACCGATGAAAAGATATTGCCGCTCGACTGATTTGGAGTGAGACCTCTGCTGTCAACCGGAGCTGGACATGAGCACTCTGCCCAGGTATGGGAAACTCTCCACTCTCTCCACAACTGCCCTATCACCAATTGGGAATTGTGGGGGTGGAGTGTCCAATGGTACAAAATTACAAAATACCCAGGCAGGTGCTTATTTTTGGTGGGACTGATGGTAATGCCCTATCTCTTAGTGGCAAGCTCCAGGTTCAGCAGCACTGCCTCCAACTCCTACCTATGAGTGAGCGGCAATTACCAAATCATCGGCATACATAATGTGGTTGACCAATAGGGAGCCATCCCTTGACTGCACCCGGGCATCGATCAGCCTCCAATCTTATATGTACCAGATGGAAATTCCTCCGGTACAGCTATTGAAGGCTTCACGAACTACGTGGTTGAAATAGATGTTAAATAATGTGGGAGCCAGAGGACATCCCTGTCGCACCCCAAGGTGTACAGGGAATGGCTCTGACTCCTGGCCACGTAGTTTTACCCGGGCCTGCTCACCATCATGAAGGTCCTTAATAATCGTGAGCAGCGGGTCAGGGACTCCGAAAGCACGAAGAACAACCCAGAGCCCAGGCCTACTGATGGTATCATAGGCCTTGACCAGTTCACTAAAGCAGAGATGTAGGTCTTGTTGGAATTCCCTACACCTCTGCTGTAGCAGACGGACAGAAAATATGGCATCTGTGCAGGACCGCCCTTTACTGAAACCGCATTGGGGCTCGGCAAGCCTCTCCTCAGCGTGCCTGGCAAAGCAATGTTGAATAATCCTTGCCAGGACCTTTCCCGGCACACTGAGTAGTGAGATGCCCCTGTAGTGGTTACAGTCTGTGCGGTCCCCCTTCTTAAAGAGGGGGATCACCAGGGCATCCTTCCAATCCTGCGGAACCCGTCCAGTGGTTCAGACTGTTGTTATGATGTCATATAGGGCAGTCTGTGCACAAACGCCACCCTCCATCAGCATTTCGCTTGGGAGATCATCTCTGCCCGGTACCACCGCCACCACACCACCGTCACCACCACCACCACAGTCACCACCACCACCACCGTCACCACCACCACCACCGTCACCACCAACACCGTCACCACTACTGTCACCACCACCACCGTCACCACCACCGTCACCACCGTCACCACCGTCACCACCACCACCGTCACCACCACCGTCACCACCACCATCACCACCACCGTCACCACCACCGTCACCACCACCACCGTCACCACCACCGTCACCACCGTCACCACCACCATCACCACCGTCACCACCACCGTCACCACCACCGTCACCATCACCACCACCACCACCACCACCCAGCGCTCGTACAAATTGGCAGGGCTTGGTCTCCTTGGGCACGCTGGCCGAGTCGGTGAAGGCCGACAAGACGAGGGCGTGGACTTGGAGGCTGAAGGAGATGAAGAAGATCGAGTGGCGCTCCCCGCCACTCGCGGCCTGACGCACAGCCACAAACAACAACAACAAACAACAACCACGTGATCAATAACTACAACGTCAGCAACAACTAAGCGATCAGTAACGGCGTCAAAAAATGCAACGTGATCGATAACCACAACGTGATCGTTAACTACGCGATCAATAACGCGTTCAATAACTGTGTGATCAAGGACTGCGTGGTAGATAACTAAGTGAACAATAACATCAATGTGATCGATAACTATGCGATCAATAAAATAATAAATAACCATGTGGTGATCATAACACTGATCAATAACCACGTGATCAATAACAGTATGACGAAGGCATATTACGTGATCAATAGCAATGTGATCAACATCGTGATCAATATCTGCAACGTGATCAATACCTACGTGATCATAAGAACGTGATCAATAAAAACGAGTTTACTCACCCCACGGGGTCAACCACAAAAGCCACTCACCCCACGGGGTCAACCACACCAGCCACTCACCCCACGGGGTCAACCACACCAGTCATCACCCCATGGGGTCAACCACACCAGCCACTGACCCCATCGTGGGTCAACCACACCAGTCATCACCCCATGGGTCCAACCACAACAGCCACTCACCCCATGGGGTCAACCACACCAGCCGCTGACCCCATGGGGCCAACCACACCAGCCTCTGACCCCATCGTGGGTCAGCCACACCAGTCATCACCCCACGGGGTCAACCACACCAACCACTGACCCCATAGGGTCAACCACACCAGCCACTCTCCCCACGGGGTCAACCACACCAGCCACTCACCCCACGGGGTCAACCACACCAGGCACTGACCCCATGCGGTCAACAACACCAGCCACTGACCCCACGGGGTCAACCACACCAGCCAGTGACCCCATGGGTCAACCACACTAGTCATCACCCCACGGGGTCAACCACACCAGTCATCACCCCACGGGGTCAACCACACCAGTCATCACCCCACGGGGTCAACCACACCAGTCATCACCCCACGGGGTCAACCACACCAGTCATAACCCCACGGAGTCAACCACACCAGTCATCACCCCACGGGGTCAACCACACCAGTCATCACCCCACGGAGTCAACCACACCAGTCATCACCCCATTGGGTTCAACCACACCAGCCAGTGACCCCACGGGGTCAACCACACCAACCACTGACCCTATGGGGTCAACCACACCAGTCATCACCCCATGGGGTCAACCACACCAGCCACTGACCCCATCGGTTCAACCACACCAGTCATCACCCCATGGGTCAACCACACCAGTCATCACCCCACGGGGTCAACCACACCAGTAATCACCCCACGGGGTCAACCACACCAGTAATCACCCCACGGGGTCAACCACATCAGTAATCACCCCACGGGGTCAACCACACCAGTAATCACCCCATGGGTCAACCACACCAGTCATCACCCCATGGGTCAACCACACCAGTCATCACCCCATGGGTCAACCACACCAGTCATCACCCCATGGGTCAACCACACCAGTCATCACCCCACGGGGTCAACCACACGAGCCACTGACCCCAGCCAGGATCTGGCACAGCAGCGTCTGGAAGGGCATCACCCCACGGGGTCAACCACACCAGTCATCACCCCATGGGTCAACCACACCAGTCATCACCCCATGGGTCAACCACACCAGTCATCACCCCATGGGTCAACCACACCAGTCATCACCCCACGGGGTCAACCACACGAGCCACTGACCCCAGCCAGGATCTGGCGCAGCAGCGTCTGGAAGGACATCACCCCACGGGGTCAACCACACCAGTCATCACCCCATGGGTCAACCACACCAGTCATCACCCCATGGGTCAACCACACCAGTCATCACCCCATGGGTCAACCACACCAGTCATCACCCCATGGGTCAACCACACCAGTCATCACCCCATGGGTCAACCACCCGAGCCACTGACCCCAGCCAGGATCTGGCGCAGCAGCGTCTGGAAGGGCATCACCCCACGGGGTCAACCACACCAGTCATCACCCCATGGGTCAACCACACCAGTCATCACCCCATGGGTTAACCACACCAGTCATCACCCCATGGGTCAACCACACCAGTCATCACCCCACGGGGTCAACCACACGAGCCACTGACCCCAGCCAGGATCTGGCGCAGCAGCGTCTGGAAGGGCATCACCCCACGGGGTCAACCACACCAGTCATCACCCCATGGGTCAACCACACCAGTCATCACCCCATGGGTCAACCACACCAGTCATCACCCCATGGGTCAACCACCCGAGCCACTGACCCCAGCCAGGATCTGGCGCAGCAGCGTCTGGAAGGGCATCACCCCACGGGGTCAACCACACCAGTAATCACCCCATGGGTCAACCACACCAGTAATCACCCCATGGGTCAACCACACCAGTAATCACCCCATGGGTCAACCACACCAGTCATCACGCCACGGGGTCAACCACACCAGTAATCACCCCATGGGTCAACCACACCAGTAATCACCCCACGGGGTCAACCACACCAGTCATCACCCCATGGGTCAACCACACGAGCCACTGACCCCAGCCAGGATCTGGCGCAGCAGCGTCTGGAAGGGCAGCACCCCACGGGGTCAACCACACCAGTAATCACCCCATGGGTCAACCACACCAGTCATCACCCCATGGGTCAACCACACGAGCCACTGACCCCAGCCAGGATCTGGCGCAGCAGCGTCTGGAAGGGCAGTACCCCACGGGGTCAACCACACCAGTAATCACCCCATGGGTCAACCACACCAGTAATCACCCCATGGGGCAACCACACCAGTCATCACGCCACGGGGTCAACCACACCAGTAATCACCCCATGGGTCAACCACACCAGTAATCACCCCACGGGGTCAACCACACCAGTCATCACCCCATGGGTCAACCACACCAGTCATCACCCCACGGGGTCAACCACACGAGCCACTGACCCCAGCCAGGATCTGGCGCAGCAGCGTCTGGAAGGGCATCACCCCACGGGGTCAACCACACCAGTAATCACCCCACGGGGTCAACCACACCAGTAATCACCCCACGGGGTCAACCACACCAGTCATCACCCCATGGGTCAACCACACCAGTCATCACCCCATGGGTCAACCACACCAGTCATCACCCCATGGGTCAACCACACCAGTCATCACCCCACGGGGTCAACCACACCAGTCATCACCCCATGGGTCAACCACACCAGTCATCACCCCACGGGGTCAACCACTCGAGCCACTGACCCCAGCCAGGATCTGGCGCAGCAGCGTCTGGAAGGGCATCACCCCACGGGGTCAACCACACCAGTAATCACCCCACGGGGTCAACCACACCAGTAATCACCCCACGGGGTCAACCACACCAGTCATCACCCCATGGGTCAACCACACCAGTCATCACCCCATGGGTCAACCACACCAGTCATCACCCCATGGGTCAACCACACCAGTCATCACCCCACGGGGTCAACCACACCAGTCATCACCCCACGGGTCAACCACTCGAGCCACTGACCCCAGCCAGGATCTGGCGCAGCAGCGTCTGGAAGGGCATCACCCCATGGGGTCAACCACACCAGTAATCACCCCATGGGTCAACCACACCAGTCATCACCCCATGGGTCAACCACACCAGTCATCACCCCACGGGTCAACCACACGAGCCACTGACCCCAGCCAGGATCTGGCGCAGCAGCGTCTGGAAGGGCATCACCCCACACAGGACGAGCAGCAGCCAGAAGATGAAGTGGAGGGCCCCTCCCGATGAGCCCCCTCCACAGCGCCGCTCCGCCTCGCCCAGCACCAGCAGCAGCAGCTGGCAACAACAACAACACAAGGTACACCACAACAACACAACACAGGGTACACAACAACAAAAACAACACACAGGGTACACAACAACAACACAACACAGGGTACACAACAACAAAAACAACACACAGGGTACACACCAACAACAACAACACACAGGGTACACAACAACAACAACAACAACACACAGGGTACACAACAACAACAACAACACAACACACAGGGTACACAACAACAACAACACACAGGGTACACAACAACAACACAACACAGGGTACACAACAACAACAACAACACACAGGGTACACACCAACAACAACAACACACAGGGTACACACCAACAACAACACACAGGGTACACAACAACAACAACAACAACACAACACAGGGTACACAACAACAACAACAACACACAGGGTACACAACAACAAAAACAACACACAGGGTACACACCAACAACAACAACACACAGGGTACACACCAACAACAACAACAACACACAGGGTACACAACAACAACAACACAACACAGGGTACACCACCACAACAACACAACACAGGGTACACAACAACAACAACAACACAACACAGGGTACACCACCACAACAACACAACACAGGGTACACAACAACAACAACACAGGGTACACCACAACAACAACACAACACAGGGTACACAACAACACAACACAGTGTACACAACAACAACACAGGGTATACAACAACACAACACAGGGTACACAACAACAACACAGGGTATACAACAACAACAACACAGGGTACACAACAACAACAACAACACACAGGGTACACCACCACAACAACACAACACAGGGTACACCACAACAACAACACAACACACAGGGTACACCACATCAACAACACAACACAGGGTACACAACAACACAACACATGGTACACAAAAACAACACAGGGTACACAACAACAACAACAACACACACAGGGTACACCACAACAACAACACAACACAGTGTACACAACAACAACACAACACAGGGTACACAACAACAACAACAACACAGGGTACACAACAACAACAACACAGTGTACACAACAACAACACAACACAGGGTACACCACAACAACAACACAACACAGGGTACACAACAACAACACCACAACACAGGGTACACCACAACAACAACACAACACAGGGTACACCACCACAACAACACAACACAGGGTACACAACAACAACAACACAACACAGGGTACACCACCACAACAACACAACACAGGGTACACAACAACAACAACACAGGGTACACCACAACAACAACACAACACAGGGTAAACAACAACACAACACAGGGTACACAACAACAACACAGGGTATACAACAACACAACACAGGGTACACAACAACAACAACAACACACAGGGTACACCACCACAACAACACAACACAGGGTACACCACAACAACAACACAACACACAGGGTACACCACATCAACAACACAACACAGGGTACACAACAACACAACACATGGTACACAAAAACAACACAGGGTACACAACAACAACAACAACAACACACACAGGGTACACCACAACAACAACACAATACAGTGTACACAACAACAACACAACACAGGGTACACAACAACAACAACAACACAGGGTACACAACAACAACAACACAGTGTACACAACAACAACACAACACAGGGTACACCACAACAACAACACAACACAGGGTACACAACAACAACACCACAACACAGGGTACACCACAACAACAACACAACACAGGGTACACAACAACAACAACACAACACAGGGTACACCACAACAACAACAACAACAACACACAGGGTACACAACAACAACAACAACAACACACAGGGTGCACCACAACAACAACACAACACAGGGTACACAACGACAACACAACACAGGGTACACAACAACACAACACAGTGTACACAACAACAACACAGGGTATACAACAACACAACACAGGGTACACAACAACAACACAGGGTACACAACAACAACAACACAGGGTACACAACAACAACAACAACAACACACAGGGTACACCACCACAACAACACAACACAGGGTACACCACAACAACAACACAACACACAGGGTACACCACATCAACAACACAACACAGGGTACACAACAACACAACACATGGTACACAAAAACAACACAGGGTACACAACAACAACAACAACACACACAGGGTACACCACAACAACAACACAACACAGTGTACACAACAACAACACAACACAGGGTACACAACAACAACAACAACACAGGGTACACAACAACAACAACACAGTGAACACAACAACAACACAACACAGGGTACACCACACCAACAACACAACACAGGGTACACAACAACAACACTACAACACAGGGTACACCACAACAACAACACAACACAGGGTACACCACCACAACAACACAACACAGGGTACACAACAACAACAACACAACACAGGGTACACCACCACAACAACACAACACAGGGTACACAACAACAACAACACAGGGTACACCACAACAACAACACAACACAGGGTAAACAACAACACAACACAGGGTACACAACAACAACACAGGGTATACAACAACACAACACAGGGTACACAACAACAACAACAACACACAGGGTACACCACCACAACAACACAACACAGGGTACACCACAACAACAACACAACACACAGGGTACACCACATCAACAACACAACACAGGGTACACAACAACACAACACATGGTACACAAAAACAACACAGGGTACACAACAACAACAACAACACACACAGGGTACACCACAACAACAACACAATACAGTGTACACAACAACAACACAACACAGGGTACACAACAACAACAACACAGGGTACACAACAACAACAACACAGTGTACACAACAACAACACAACACAGGGTACACCACAACAACAACACAACACAGGGTACACAACAACAACACCACAACACAGGGTACACCACAACAACAACACAACACAGGGTACACAACAACAACAACACAACACAGGGTACACCACAACAACAACAACAACAACACACAGGGTACACAACAACAACAACAACACACAGGGTGCACCACAACAACAACACAACACAGGGTACACAACGACAACACAACACAGGGTACACAACAACAACAACACACAGGGCACACAACAACAACAACACACAGGGTACACAACAACAACAACACAGGGTACACCACAACAACAACAACACACAGGGTACACAACAACAACAACAACAACACAGGGTACACCACAACAACACAACACACAGGGTACACAACAACAACAACAACACACAGGGTACACCACAACAACAACAACAACAACACAGGGTACACCACAACAACAACAACAACACAACACAGGGTACACCACAAAAACAACAACAACACAACACAGGGTACACCACAACAACAACAACAACACAACACAGGGTACACCACAACAACAACAACACAACACAGGGTACACCACAACAACAACAACAACACAGGGTACACCACAACAACAACAACAACAACAACACAACACAGGGTACACCACAACAACAACAACAACACAACACAGGGTACACCACAACAACAACAACAACAACACAGGGTACACCACAACAACAACAACAACACAGGGTACACCACAACAACAACAACAACACAGGGTACACCACAACAACAACAACACAGGGTACACAACAACAACAACAACACACAGGGTACACCACAACAACAACAACACAACACAGGGTACACAACAACAACAACAACAACAACACAGGGTACACAACAACAACAACAACACACAGGGTACACACCAACAACAACAACAACAACACAGTGTACACAACAACAACAACACACAGGGTACACAACAACAACAACACAGTGTACACAACAACAACACAACACAGGGTACACCACAACAACAACACAACACAGGGTACACAACAACAACAACAACAACAACACAACACAGGGTACACAACAAAAACAACACAACACAGGGTACACCACAACAACAACACACAGGGTACACAACAACAACAACACAACACAGTGTACACAACAACAACAACAACAACACACAGGGTACACAACAACAACAACACAGTGTACACAACAACAACACAACACAGGGTACACCACAACAACAACACAACACACAGGGTACACCACAACAACAACACAACACAGGGTACACAACAACAACACAACACAGGGTACACAACAACAACAACACAGGGTACACAACAACAACAACACAACACAGGGTACACCACAACAACAACAACACAGGGTACACAACAACAACACAACACAGGGTACACAACAACAACAACAACACAGGGTACACAACAACAACAACACAGGGTACACAACAACAACAAACAACAACACAGGGTACACCACAACAACAACAACACACAGGGTACACCACAACAACAACAACAACAACACAACACAGGGCACACCACCACAACAACAACACAGGGTACACAACAACAACAACAACACAGGGTACACAACAACAACAACAACACAGGGTACACAACAACAACAACAACAAACAACAACACAGGGTACACCACAACAACAACAACACACAGGGTACACAACAACAACACAACACAGGGTACACAACAACACAACACAGGGTACACAACAACAACACAGGGTACACAACAACAACAACACAGGGTACACAACAACAACAACAAACAACAACACAGGGTACACCACAACAACAACACAACACACAGGGTACACAACAACAACAACACAACACACAGGGTACACAACAACAACCACACCAACACACAGGGTACACCAGTGTGAGGGGTTGGAATAGTGATAGGGTAGTGATAGGGGTTGAGGTAGTGATAGGGGTAGTGATAGGGGTTGGTGTAGGCGTAGTAATAGGGGTAGGGGTAGTGATAAGAATAGTGATAGGGGTTGGGATA